CGTTTTTTTTTTTTTTTTTTTTTTGGTTCTGTGGGTGTGACGTCCCGAAATCTGCGTTGCCCGGGCTCGTAGGACTGACCGGGCGTTTGCGTGGCCGACCCCCTAAGGTTGCGGCGTGTATATGGGAAAGCCCCGCGGCCGATGTATGGGCCAGGTACTGGTGGTTTAATTAACCGTGGGGTACGCGCATCACGTTCCGAGGGGTACACTTTCTGTACCGAACCGATAGAGAACTCCACCGACAATTCGAGGTAGCAGTACGCATCAATAGGTACGTCCAATATACGTATCCAAAAATACTTTCTCGCCGCTTCGCTTCTTGCCTCCTGTATCTCGACCTTGGTCATCCATGGATTGAAGCAGATGTGGTGCCATCTCCCTCGTAGTGAAACCCGGGCTTCCTGTTCCTCTAGCATGCACTCCACCACCTTCCTGTCTTTAGCCACATAGGACAGGACATTACTGGACTCTATGCACACCCGTCCTCTTGTTATTGTGGGGTCAAACCTCTCTTCACCCATCCAAATATTCTCGTATGCTCTTATGACATCTTCTTTTATCCTCTTTGGAAGGTTTTTGGACCCTTCCTGGAAGATAACAGTGACTGTCCTCTCCTTCAACCACTTTACCTTAATCTCATCCAAAGATGGATTTAAGGTAAAATGGGCTCTGGTTCCTTCCACCTTCATCTCGCCAATATCCCATCCAGATGGCTAGAGACCCGCCTGGAAACACTTAGAGAGCATGTCTCTGACGCGTTTTTCTTCAGCCCAGTGATTGGTCTGCGACGGCGAAGGGGAGCGATTCTGCATTCCTACGTCATCTTCTGCTGCTCCCATTTGCCGTGGTGTAGTCCCTTCAGCTTCTGCTCCAATCATTCCCACGTCCCCCCTTAACGGGGGGGGGGGATCCGTTGCCTCTGGTTGAGCTTCATCCAACTCCATACTTGTGTCCCCCCGAGAGGGGTTTCAAAATGCCTGCCTCTTCTACAGTGTCTTTACGATGGTATCAATACTTTAAACTTCTCGCGGAGAGCACCTTGCAGAGCTGATATGAGACCAAGTATTTTTTGGTGTGAAAATGATAGATTGTCTCCTACGGACGAGTATGTGTCGTAGGGCTAGCCTATCAGTACTAGGGAGTCAGTCATAGCTGAGCTTCGTGTACTTGACAACCTGCGCGTCAACCATGGCAGCTGACCACACGCCGGTGGCGGCGGGACCGAGCGCTATCCGTGCCGTGAACCGGCGCCCCCACTCGTTTCGTAAATTTTACTAGCTCATCTACCTTATATGATTATATTTTCAGTATTTTTTTCTTGTTCAAACACGAAGGGCCTCGCTCCATTACTCTCGACATGCACAAAAGACAAAAATCATGGCTGTGTTTCTTTTTTTTTTTTTTTTTTTTTTTAAAAGGCTGTGTATCTTTCAATATTCTAGGAGACTGTATCTTTCAATATTCTAGCAGAAGATTCACTCTCGTTTTACACATGTCGCTCTGTATCTTTCAATCAATATTCTAGCAGAAGATTCACTCTCGTTTTGCACATTTCCAGAGTAGTGGAGCGAGGCCCCAACAGCGCTACGACTCACCAACCCTTGGATACGTTTCTTTGGCGTTGATCTAGAAGCTGCTGGCCTCCGTCCTTGCGTAACCATTAGCCATCCTTTCCGCGAATGCTGTCTGCGCATCCATAATGCCGTAAGCCACGTCATCACGGCAAGCCACCTCATCATCACGACAAGCCACCTCATCATCACGGCAAGCCACGTGCTCCTCACGACAGGCCACGTCATCATTACGTCAGGTCACCCCATCATGACGGCAAGCACGCAATTACCAAGTGAGTTGGAAGATAAACCGCCAATCCTGGACATGAAAAGGGTGGGGACGCTTTGAAAAGGGTGGCTTAATGCTAACACGGACGGCTCTCTCTTTTTTTTGCTCTTTTTTTTTTTTTTTCGACGTTTCATTGCAAAGAAAAGCTTCAATTAGAGGCCGGGGACCTCACAATTCAACCCGGAGTTATCCCGGCCGGTTTCGCTTACAGTCATCAGGGCTGGAGGACCGCAGAAGAACTCATACTTCACTCAGATTTAACACTTCTGACGATTCTGACTACTTCTCAATGATGGCTCAATACCCCATCCAAATAGCAAGTACCCCTTGTGACTCCCCTCAACCCTGGCTTCTCCCTAGCTATTCTATTCTAGTGGACGGCTCTCTCTCGCTCATACGGTGCATGCCAACGTGATGCTTTATCCTGAAGCAAGAAATAGGGGGGGAAGGGGAGCGGGAAGAAGAGCGAGGGAGCAGGAAGGGAAGGAGGCAGGAGTGGGAAGGGAGAGGGAGATGAGAAAGATGCTGAGATGAGAAAGGTGCTTGCCAACGTTGCCAGCTGCACGTATCGCCAAGTGCCGAGTCGAATGGTAGACCGTTGGTCCGGTACATGAATGAGGAGGTTCCGACCTCGGAAAGAGGCGGAACGACGTAGAGTGAAGAAAGAGGCGGATGGTGGGTGGGACATGGTTAGATCGCCGCCTTCTACGCTGCAAATCACGTTCTCATTACGACCACAAGAGGGTACAACGTGGGGCATCGGGAGGCGTGTGTCTGGGATTGTAAGAGGTGTGTGTGTGTGTGTGTGTGTGTGTGTGTGTGTGTGTGTGTGAGAGAGAGAGAGAGAGAGAGAGAGAGAGAGAGAGAGAGAGAGAGAGAGAG